ACAATCTCAACAGTAATATAGGTAAAATTAAGTATTCAATCAATCTATACTAGCACACAAGTCGGAGTCACCTAATGCGACCTGTACGACTATCCTGATGCTCATCAATCTATGCTAGCACATGAGTCGAAGTTGCCTAATATGACCTATACGACAGAACTGGGTGTAATAATATACGCTCTAGTGCTACAATCACCTGAACACTATCGCTAATTGCGGTCACCTACGAGTTGGAGTTGCCTAATGTAACATGTACGATAGGACTGACACCTACTTGGATCCAAGGTGAGTGTGCAGTGCTGAAGTGAGCAGCACGTGAAAGACTGGCCCTGACCCGGGGCGAGCACTAACACCGAGGTGCAGCAATGATGAGAAAACTATATAAATATAAACATGCCATAACAATTTAATAATTCTAGTTAACATAATAAACTTACCTGCGCATCCCGTAAGATTATTTAGTATTTCACAACAGTGCAACATTTCTTCTAACATTATTTAATCATGGCATGATATGCATAAATCAATTCAAAATCATTTATGGAAACTATAAAGTTTATACACACACACACACACACACACGAAAACAAATGCCCCCTCACTGATACGTCGATGGATCATAGCCCCCTAACCTCGCTTGTCCTCGTACGTCCTCAGGATAAGTCTCCCCTATATGCGAAACAACTAATAATAATTAATTAATTAACACATACAATAAAAGCTAGGAAGAACTCCCCATAGTTTGCTCAAACGGAAGATTTAAATATACGAAAACACTCTACACGACGTCACGGACCCGTACATGTTAACCACTCGCCGACGGAGGGCGGATGCCTCGTCACGCGCAGCTTAGTCCATGGCCACACCCGCGGACATGCTTAGGTCAGAGCTGACAGAAGCCAGGGAAGATTCCGTTAGAGTTGACGAAATATTTCGTTAAATAGTAACGGAACTTAACAACGTTACCTGATGCCGTTAGAATATTCCGTCAACTTTGACAGAATATTCTTCGTCTTCTCTGGTGAGCCTCGTTGTCTGCTGCCGCATTATCAACGATCTTTATATAGAATTGAAGCCCATGATGAATAGAACAATATTTTACCTTCCAAAAGTCCAAAAATGGCTGGGAAATAACCTGAAAAATCCTTGAAAGGTTTGGCCTAAACTTAAACTCCTCGAACTCGTTTGTTTCAACGTCAACTCGACTCCAAACTTAGTCTGGGGACCCTAGGGAGTTGTGTAAAAGCTTCCCCACGACCTAAAACCTTTTTAAGTTGGCCTGAAACTCGTCAAAGCAAAACCCACTGAGTTGGACCTTTCGAGTTGATGGGTCAAAGCTCGGTCATTTCACCATCGGCTGGTACGGCTGGGTTTGTGGGTTCGAGATGAGTACAATGGTGGAGTTTGTGAGCTCGATCTGTGATTTTTTGACGAAGGTCCTTGTTACAGAGAGGAGAGAGTTACGAGATAGAGAGAGTGAGAAGAAGATGAGAGATACTGAGAGAGAATGAATGTGTTCTGATTGGGGGTGAGAAGTGACATACAATGTTTATAATTGGTTGAGTGAGAGTGAGGGTGAGTTTGATTGGTGAGGGGGGATTTAGGGAAAAACAAGCGAATGTGAGGGTTTTAGGGATTGTGATTGGTGAATGTGTGAAGAAAGGGGACGTTGATGAGCCCAAATTGTATACTTATTTTATCTCGAAAATTACATTTACTTGTGATATATTGGATTCAAATGTAAGCAATTACATGTCATTTGTATTTTTATGGCTAAAATAAGATGATGGAGAAATATATCATAACTCTTTGATCTTTAAAGCTAGTCAAGTGAGTCTGGTACTTATTTTAAATGACCATTTATCTAGTGCTCTAACTATTTAACCATTTGTTCATTTGAAATATTAAAAGCCAAGACCACCATGTGCTAATTGATTTCAATGTGAATTGGATGCAGGATGAGAAATATAGAAGAACATGTGGCCACAAAGCTCACGAAAGTTTGCTCTTATCGTTTCATCTGCATAGAAGAGAGAGAGAGAAAAAAAAAACTGATGTTATCTTATTAAATTCTAAGGAGCAATCAACAACAAGTAAAAGGCACGAGATTGTGTATTTCTTCATTGAGAAATAAACGGAGGTGTGTAAATGCACAAAGTGGCCATCAAGGAATTCAATTGTTATGTCTTCCTTTACTGTCAACAATAAATCGATGTTAAGTATTCATTGGTTACGGAGAATGAAAGAAGGAAGCTAAGGGGAAAGACAAAAGAAACCAAAAGGAACAGCTGGAGTCAATTGGCATTAATTTGTAGATAATTGGGGCTACTCATTATGGAAGAAATGAATGAAAGAGAGAAGAAGAAAAGGAAGAATAAGACAAGCAGAAGAAGGAAGCAAAAGTGGGCAAGACAAAAAATAAAAAAAGGGCTGATTAATATAGTTAATTCGCTGGTCATTATTCATTAAAGAAAAAGAAAAAGAAGAGGACTTAAAGAGAGGCAAATTGATCATCATTCAACAAGAAAAGAAAAGGGGAAAAAGGTTGCGGCATGTAGAGATCAAGGGGAAGAAGGCAACGGCAAAGCAAGAGATTTTCAGGCTTTTCTAAACTTATGTTTCTTTTAATTTTATGAATTCAATAATATTTTCGATTATGTTTCGGAACTAATTTCTTTTCGCTAGGGTTACGATGTAGCCTAACTATGAATTCTTAATTTCTCAGTTTAATTATTTATGAAGTTTCATTCACTTTGAGTATCATTTTGCTGTGCTTATGAGCTTGATTTTAATCTTAGTGATTGACCACCACTTTGGTTTGAGTTGAATATATTTGATGCGAGTTAACACAAATGCCATGTTGTTAATTCGGTTTTAGTGTCTTACAAATGGTACCATGAATTCCTTGATGTAGATGTCATACACTAGGTTTCATGCTGTCTATTAAGTAGTTCTCAAATCATTAATGAACTCGTGTTGTTTAGTAATCTAGATGCCATAGATTGTTAGCACATATGAGTATACATAGTAATATAGATGCCATGGATACTATATGAATTAGAGGAACTAGACCGTCAAATTGGATGATTACTCATTAATAATTAACTGTAGGAATTAAGTTGGATTGGTTATGATGAATCAGATGCTCTAATGTTTTTCGCAATTGATTTATAATTTGATTTTTTTGTTGTTCTTGTCATTTATTTAAGCTCATTTGATTTTTGTTTACATTTACAATTTCAAAGTTCTTTCTCAAATCATCAATTTTTCCATTTCAATTCAAATGCAATACAAATTAAGTTAGATAATTAGAATTATTTCAACCTTAGTTGGAATGATCTTGTGCTTGCCTACTATACTACTTAACGATTCATACACTTCAAGCATTAAAATTTGGACTTAATTGGGTTGATTTCGGTTAATCTAATTTTGGCAACAGACACGGATCCCATTTTAAAAGGAGCTAAAAGATAAGGTTTTGTACAAGTGAAATCCGACGAAATCTAACGTACCCTATCAAAAATAGTAATTTCCTACACTAATAAATTAGCACACCCGCGAGTACAATTTCACCCATTGTTAACACATTTTAACTAGATGTAACTTTTTTATTACAAGTCCGTTTCAAGCCTAACTCACGCTCGCACGTTCGTAACGAGTACCATTTAATTACGATAACAAGAAAAATAATTAAAAGCCGAATAACCACGTTCACGTCACTTTGCCAACAAGGACATAAATGTCAATTTACACACTCGGGGAGAAATTACATAAAAAATCAAGGACGGGTCGTCACATAAGTAGTAAGTTTGGGTTTAAAGAAATATTAAATTTTTAATTAAAAATGGGGAATTGTTATTGGTATTCCAAAATTCTCATTCTACACTTCAAATTTTCTATATTTAGAAAGAAAAATATACTTGTGAGGAGTGTAGAATAAAAATTTTGGAATGTCAATAACACCTCTCTAAAAATAATATAAATATAAAAAGTAAGTTAAGTGTAGAAAAATGTGATATGAGATCAAATAAAATTTTTGTGGCTCCAATTTCCCAAGACTGAAGCTTTGGAGAGCAAAAGTCCCCAAAGTCACCAGATTTCGCTCAATTTTTATCTGGGCAGTTGGATTTTCGTCTTCGAAATTGAAATTTATAGACATTGTAGGACTCTTCTCAGTTCCAAAATCTCAGAGGCTTTGCTGCCATGGCAGTTTCAACGCAGCTCCAATCTGTGACCAGTCTTGCTTCGTTGACTCACCGCACTAAGCTCGAATTCCGAAGTAGCTCCAATCTGTGACCAGTCTTGCTTCGTTGGCAACGGATCCCATTTAAAAAGGGAAGGTGGATTGTCTACTCTCTCATTTTCATACTCTCCTCGTGCCTTTCTGTTTGTGTGGTTACGATTAAATCACGTCAATATTTTATATTCCTATTACTTTTTGTTTTATTATTTCTATAAAAAATTAATATAAAATGTTAACGTGACTTAACCGTGACCACACATTACAGAAAACATAGGAAGAGTATGGAAATAGAAAGGCATACAATCCACCTCCTTAAAAAGGAGCTAAAAGATAGGTTTTGTACAAGTGAAATCCAATGAAATCTAAAGTACCCTATCAAAAACAGTAATTTCTTACACTAATAAATTAGCACACCCGCGTGTACAATTTCACTCGTTGTTAACGCATTTTAACTAGACGCAACTTTTTCGTTACAAGTCTGTTTCGAGCCTAACTCACGCTCACGCTTCATAACAACGAGTATCATTTAATTACGATAACAAGAAAATTAATTAAAAGCCAAATAACCACGTCCATGTCACTTTGCCAACAAGGGCATAAATGTCAATTTACACACTCGGAGAGAAATTACATGAAAAATTAAGGACGAGTCGCCACATAGGTAGTAAATTTGGGTTTAAAGATATTTTAATTCTTTAATTAAAAATAATATGTATGCAGAAAAGAAGTTGGGTGTAAAAATATTCTATGTTCAAATAAAATTTTTGTGGCTCCAATTTCCAAAGACTGAGTCTTTGGAGAGCGAAAATCCTCAAAGTCACCAGATTTCACTCAATTTTTATCTGGGCAGTTGGATTTTCGTCTTGGAAATTGAAATTTATAGACATTGTAGGACTCTTCTCAGTTCCAAAATCTCAGAGGTTTTGCTGCCATGGCAGTTTCAACGCAGCTCCAATCTGTGACCAGTCTTGCTTCGTTGACTCACCGCACTAAGCTCGAATTCCGAAGCAGCTGCTGCATTCCTTCAGTTATCAGAACAGAGCAGAGAAGCTCAGCTGCTGGCCGTGTCAATGCCGTGCTCTCCTCCGCGCCCAGCGTTTCTGAGAAACCAAATTCGAAGCCGCAGATAGCTTCTTTCAGTGAGGTGACAATTGGGGTTCTTTAAATTTTAAAATTTTCTGTGGATTTTGTGAATTTGAGTTTTTGTTTTGGGGGAGAACATGAATTGGGTTGTGAGATTTTGGTGTGGTTTGTGCAGTTGATCGAGTCTTTGATTAGTCGGGTGGATTTGACGGAGGAGGAAGCTGAAGCGTCGTTGGAGTTCTTGCTGGATGGTGCCAATGAGGCTTTGATCAGCGCGTTTCTTGTGTTGTTGAGAGCCAAAGGAGAGACTTATGAAGAAGTAAGTATTCTTTTTTTTCTTTTTTTTCAAAGAAACTTTTGAATTTTGAGTAGATCAAATTATATGGTTGCAGTTCTATGTGAATGCATCCATTCTCACGCATGGGCCATTCTTTTACTTGTGTTTTCGTCGTGGACATATTATTCGTTACTGAAGCCAATCTAGAATCTAGAATCCGTTCGGAAATCGATTTTATTTTGTTTTCGTCGTGGACATATTAGAGAACTGTGAACTTTTGTTTGTGAAATTTGTGAACTATATAGTCTACATTGACAGTAATTGTTGGAAAGGCTACTTTTTCCTCCCTTCTGTGCATCTATCCGTTCAGATTTGATTGAGTTAGCCGTCATAAGGGTGAGTGAAGTTTCGGTATCTAAATGTACAGACGGATTCTTTCAATGGGATTTTCTTCTGTGCTCCTCTGTTCTAGGAAGCAGGGACCTTTTTTCATTTTTAGTCAGTCATGTGAAAGACCGTGGTTTGATATTCTTACAGGAGCCGAGATCTAAGATCATAACTAATCCGGTTCACAGGATCTGATTGAAAAGGCTTACCTCGTTAATTTGAAAATTGCTTGCAATGCATGCAATACTTTTGTCTTGAATAAGTATCTTAGCAAGGAATACTGACTGCATAATGGCATATTTGGAACAAAGTAGAAATCAGCGAACTGGTGATTGAATGTGTAAGTTACTACAGAGCCTCGTCTAGGAAAAATATGAATGTTTTTTTTTCTAATAATAAGCATCCATGTGATAAGTTGATAATCACAAGGAAAATAAACTATTTTTCATTAATCATTTTCTCCCCCAAATGATTGTATTACATCATAATTTAAAGGAAACAAAGATAAGGGAAGCATAAATGAATTACAACTAATTTCTAAGTAATTAAAAGTGCACTGCCATTATCATTCCAATTCCAAAGCATGTGAGCAATTTCCAAGTTGTATGCTTGCTCCCGCATCACTTTCTGTTCCGAGGGTGCATGATAACAGCACTTGGGTTGATAGTTTTTCTTCTGGTTGTGCCATCTTATTAGTTTGTTGGTCTGTTCTGCATTTGTGGTGGATTGGTTTTTTCAGGGTGTTTCCATTGTTTTTCTGATCTGATCCTGTTGTTTCGGTAGGTCAAGTACACCGTTATATAGCTTATTTCCTGGATAATTATTTTAATGGTTATTATTATTAAACAGATTGTGGGATTGGCAAAGGCAATGATGAAGCACAGTTTGAAGATAGAAGACTTAGGGGATGTGGTTGACATTGTTGGAACTGGTGGTGATGGCGCAAACACAGTAAACATTTCCACAGGGGCTGCAATACTTGCTGCAGCTTGTGGTGCAAAAGTTGCAAAGGTAACATCCATCTATATTGATATTGTGATATTTTTGTGTTTTGTTTCTCTTATCAAAGTTAATACTATCAGACAATTGTTTTGTATCTCAGCAAGGAAGCCGTTCGAGTTCCTCTGCATGTGGAAGTGCTGATGTATTAGAAGCTTTGGGGATAATAATTGATTTGGACCCTGAGGTTGGTGCACTAAATATTTTATTTTTAAAATGTTCAAATAAATGTGCAGTTGTGATCTCAAATTTGGCCAGACAGATGCTCATTCAGGTTGGGATTGTTCTTGAAACAGGGGGTAACTAGATGTGTGAACGAAGTAGGCATTGGCTTTATGATGGCACCCAAATATCATCCAGCAATGCATATTGTTCACCCTGTCAGAAAGAAACTGAAAGTAAAGACCGTGTTTAACGTATTGGGACCCATGTTGAATCCAGCAAGAGTACCTTTTGCTGTTGTTGGTGTATACAAGGATGACTTGGTGAGTGTTTATTCTTAGAATTTTAGCATTAACGATGGTAACTTGGAGAAGGTTGGACTTTACACTATTACTACTGAGCTGCATGTATCTGGATAGGTCTTAAAGATGGCCAAAGCTTTGCAAAGCTTTGGAATGAAGAGAGCATTAGTCGTTCACTCCAAAGGCTTGGACGAAATGAGTCCACTTGGTAAAATTCCTTTTTTATATTAGATTACGTCTGAGCTAATACAATATCATCACAATTTTTCTTCTAGTTTAACATAAAGCCTCACTTTTACGTGATTGATTTGAATATAGGACCCGGGCATATCCTTGATGTAACTCCTAATAAGATTGAGGAGTTCTCCTTTGATCCATGTGAGAATCTTATCTCTAGTTTTCAACTGTTGATTCTTGTGCTTATAGTTCGTTGGATGATTTTTCGCTCAACTCAATGTTCTCATCAATTCGTAATTTTCCCTGTATACAGTGGATTTTGGAATTCCTCGCTGCACCTTAGATGATTTGCGGGGTGGAGGCCCGGAGTATAATGCTGATGCACTAAAGCGTGTATTGTCAGGGGAGAAGGGTCCCGTTGCAGATGCATTTGTATGTTCCCTTGATCGTTACAACAAAATATGAACTTTGTCACCTTCTTCCTATGTTTGATAAATCTACTCATTACCAAAACTATTGGCCAGATCTTAACCGCTGCAGCAGCTCTCTTGGTCAGCGGTCGGGTGAACACCTTAGCTGAAGGTATCTCTTTGGCTCGTGAAACACAAATGTCAGGGAAAGCTATTAGGATCCTTGACCAATGGGTAGCTATCTCCAATGTAAGTGGTCTGGCCATGTATTCGTATCTTCATTTTATGATTAAACGTATCAATTTCGTTAATCCGCTTTGTTTAATGACTGCAGACAATGATTAAGGATACAATTATTTACTAAGGACGACGTCTGGTACGTGTTTGGATATCAGATTCGACGATGAAGACCCGTTGTAGAGTCAACGCAGTTGAGAGAACAAAATAAGGTGAAGGGTTGTATTTTGTATAATTACTGTTCTCTGTGTTTTCATTCTGCCTCTGCAACTCGAAAACCAAGTGTAGTTTATGAAACAATGGAAGCAAATAAGTTTCAAAGTTATGTTTACATCACTCTCTCTCTCTCTCTCTCTATGCATACATATGCTAAATTCGATATCCATTTCAATAATGTTTCTTTGTAATCCAAGCTAGTATACACAACAGTAATCCTGCAAAAAAAAAAAAACTCACTAATATTCAGAGACCAAAGTTATATCATTCGAAAATTTGCATGTGTACAAGGTTGCTAAAGGGGTGAGATATCCACACACTTTTTTTCACTTCTCACACACCTTTCTAATTTTAGGCCGTTGGATCAGATGAATTAAAGAAGATCAACAGACAGAAATTAACAAAGGGTGTGTGAGAAGTAAAAAGGGGTGTGTGGATGGCACACCCTATTGCTAAAATGACAAATTTGACACGAATCGTTGTACAATAATGATGAGCAGAAGAAAGTACCTCTCAATGTGTAACTCTCCACCATAGGGTATGTTCTTGTTGATGCCGATTTTACTGCACACCAGACAGAACGATCATCAATTAAGTTATGCACTAATAAATGACTAGGCGAGCAGACTAGGATCGCATAGTCGTCTCTTAACGCTCAAATACGAATACGCTTATTCGTAACTTAGAATAATTTAAAATATACAGATTGCGTAGTTAGGTCATAGAAAGGAGAATCATGGTGGGGGATGTCTAACCGGAATCACAATTTGATGTGGAATTGAAGCTCCCACACATACACAATTGCTTAATGCCATCGGTACCGTAACCGCACGTGCCTCCGGTTGCCTCACACGCTCTACAAAACTGATCATTTTCTTGAACAGAATACTTCACTCGGATACCATAAGACCACCCGTGGGCCCCATCGAGCTTCAGTGGGGCCAGATTGTAAGCACTGCTATACCCTTGACACTGAAGCTTGGTGAGATTAACGGCCTTGATGGCCTCAAACGGCACTGCACAGCACTCAGGTGGGCCCGACCCAAACCAGAAGCCCACCCTCCTATGGCCCAACGAATTCCACGCTGGACAACCATAGTACTCCTCGCAACTCATGCCGGAAACGTTTCTGCATGGCAAGTGCTTCCCCGGAAAGCCTTGGAAGAGCGGCGACTCAGCCGAGCAGCCGATCAGCATGAACACGTTGTCGGTGGTTGGGGTCATGTACGGGGCCCGCCATTGCTCGACGGAGAAGCCGTTGCCCTTGGCACCTAGCACTATGTTGTCGCATGTTGACATGTGAGGGTCGTGTAACGTGAGGGCTTGGTAAGCGTAGTCTATGTCCAAGACTCTGTAAGATCCCGAGCTGATGTGAAACATGAGCACATCGTTGATGCAGTATAAGAGATCTCGAAAGCCCGGGTGGCCGCAGCCGGAGTGGACGGCGAACGGGTAATCTACGGTGAGGTTTCCGCAATACGATCTGCAGGTGTTGGCCGAACTTGATGGAAGAAACGAAGAAAATATAAGACAGAGGAAGCTGGAAATTATGAACATAGTTGTTGTAGTATTGCTACTCATGGATGCAAGTGAGAGAGAGTTTTGAGTGAGATGTGTGGTTAGTGATATGAGTGACTTTGTGGATAATGCAAATGAATGATACCTTGCTTGGATGATTTGAGAAATATTTCAGTGTGTCGAGAACATGATCTGGTACACCAAATGTTATAATATAAGTGATTGAAATTGTTTTTTTTTAAACATTCACTTACTTGTATTATAACATTTAATATATCAAGTTGTATTTTCTATTGACTAAAAAATCTCTCTTTGCTTGAATGATTTGCGTTAAGAATACCTTTTGGTGAATTGTTTATGGGTTTTGCTCCTCTTTTTGGTTGGAGAATTATTTGTTTTTAAAACTTTAGTGTATGCTTTTGAAAAATTGAAATATTGCAGAAGCTTTAGTTTGCTTTTGGGTCATGGGAGGGTAATAAAATTGCACGAAATGATTCCGATGGGGTTGCATTATGTTCCATTGTTTTTTGCTTTTCCATGACTACTTAACAAAGAAGTTGAAATAGAAGCATATGAAAACTAAAAGGTGATATTAAAGCCAATGCTTGTGTCCACTTATTCTTTCACTTATGATTAATGAATTTTTAATGTCTGAATATTATAATCGAAATCGTTTATTCTCTTCATATCTGCAAAAAAAAATATTCAAATTGGAGATCGTTTAGTCATCCATACGTGTTAAACCAATCAAAGATTTTAGTAACGAGTAGCATTCTTATGATGCACCGTCCATTTGTTTTATGCTATGAATGATTAAAAGCTCCAAACTGAATAATTTTTTGCATATATGGTCTATAGATGATAAAAAGAATGAATAGTTTTGATTTTGATGTTCGGACGGTAAATATTCATTAATAGTAAGTGAGAAGACAAATAAGTTATTTTATGAAGGATACAAGCATTATCCGAGATGAAAGTACTAACAACAATTTCTTTCTACAACGTAAATTAACCATGCCCAATCAAAGTTTACCACGTGGATAATGAGCTTTGATATGGCTAAAATACTCTTGATGGCGTGAACAAACCACCGGCTCAACCCTAATGCCAAACGTCTGAAGAAGAGAGAAGAAAACGACGCGTCGTTTATTGTGATACTCACTTTGACTATTGGAGTGAAGTTTCCACGTGCCACCGCACGCGAGCGAGAAAATCTGGCGGTGGCGGTGACTCATTACCACCGTCCGCATTGCCTCTTACCTTGTGTTTGGCTGCCCTGAATAACAGTAACTCTTGACTGCATTCAGCTTTCTATCTTCTGTTTGGCTGAGAATTTTCTCGGAAACCAAACACCATAGTGTTATAGAAGGCCCTCTTTCTCTTTGGATGGTTCATGTAAAGAGCATACTGTTTGATAAATGGAAGCTCCCGAAGACCTCGTCTCAAACGTAATGGATCATCCTTTGGTAACTTTACTTGCTGAAAATCCTTTCAAAAATTCAACTTTTCTGCTATTCTGATATGATAATTCTCCAAAAATGTTAAATTTATGATCATCATTTCTGGGTCAAGTTTATGATCATTGATCTTAGCGTAACTCGTTTAATTGGGTCCTCAAAAAATGTTAAATTTATGATCATCATTTCTGGGTCAAGTTTATGATCATTGATCTTAGCGTAACTTGTTTAATTGGGTCCTCAAAAAATGTTAAATTTGGAGAATTTGAAACTTGGGTTCGATTTGCTAAATCTTATTGGAACTTGGGGTTTATCATATTCGAAATGCCCACCATGTGTTTGTTGAAATTCCTGTTAGAGTGACGATGGCATTGTTTTCTTTGAATTAGCATTCTCCGAAACTAGCAGGAACTGTCAACTGGGGCACGGCGACTGTCATCGGAGTGTTTGCAGGCTTGTTTTACGGTGGTAGCAAGGAAGCAGCTGCTTCAGTTGTAAGTTTGTATCTAAATTAACAATGTTCCCAAGTGCTTGTTTAATGCTTTGTGGTTATTCGTGATAATGTTTGAACAACTGAGGTGTTTGATTAGTGTTGTAATCTTCGAAAAGATTGGATATCGACAGACATATTTGATTGGCAGAGCAAAGATGCAGAAGTAATGTTGAAGCTGGGGAGCACGCCAGACAAGCGTGAACAATATCGTCTCATGAGAGATGCAATGGAGAAAAGGTTCATTCGTGTCACTCGGGGCTCGATAGTTGGTGGAGTGCGTCTTGGATTGTTTACTGCAACCTTTTGTGGTATACAGAATCTGTTTGCCGAGAAGAGGGGCGTGCACGATGTTTTCAATGTTGTTGGAGCCGGATCAGCCACTGCTGCTACGTTTGCTCTAATAAGTATGACTCATATCTGATCTTTGGGCTTCTTTTCGTTAACTGGTTGTTGTCATTGGGTATGTGCCAAAGCATCGACTTCTGAATTGATGCTTATGGCCCTTTCAGAATGTTGAATTAAAAGTAATTCAATGGAATGCAATGTCTTCTCATTATATAACATTTGGTTCCTACTTGAACCAGTGCCCGGATCATTGGCTTGGCGAGCAAGAAACGTGATGTTGGGTGCTGCCCTAGGGGCGGCGTTTGGTTTTCCACTTGGTAACACTTTCAACCATGTCATTTTCCAAGTGTACTTTTAATCGATCATATAGTCGCTAACATGGGTTGATGTATGTCGTGGCAGGGTGGGCCCATTTGAAGCTGGTAGAGAAGGCAAATGAAGGGAATGCGGCTGCACATCCTGATTCAGATCAAAGAGAAGCAAGGAGTGGTGTTGGCACTGCAATTGACAGGCTGGAAGAAAACTTGAATAAGTAGAACAGAAAATTCTGCAAGGCAAGACCTCCCCGTTGTCCCGTGCCAAAAGAGAAGGTTGAAAATTCGAGAAAAAGTAGTAAGATGAGCTAAAGAACTATGCAGTACTTTTTTTTTAACGTGTTTTCAGTGAAAATTTATTGTTTCTTTGTTAGGAAAATGAAGAACCGTTGCTTACCACATAATGTTATGATAATTGCAAACACAATCATGGATTTGAATCTGTGATTTATCTTTGTTTTGGTTTACAACTATGTTCAAGCAGAATTAATTAGGTTTTGTTTGATCTTCTTTGCATTAATTCCCTTTCCATGAATAATTTCTACTTAAACACCTGCGGAAAGATATTCAAAATGAAAGTTTAATCCTGAAACAATCTACTCCATCGTGGACAGATCATCACTCCACTCCGATCCTCCGATCAGTTCTGAGTTCAGTCGACTACAGCGAAGTTTGATACGGTTCAAAAGAGTGAGCAAATGGCTAGAGTGAGCAAATGGTTGTAGCAGCCACTCAACAGCAGCGTGAATCCTCCGATCAGTTCTAAGTTCAGTCGACGGCAGCAAAGTTTGGTACGGTTCAAAAGAGTGAGCAAATGGCTAGAGTGAGCAAATGGTCGTAGCAGCCAGTCGACAGCAGCGTGAATCCTCCGATCAGTTCTAAGTTCAGTCGACTACAGCAAAGTTTGATACGGTTTGTTCTCATAAATTTGCACTGAAATCAACTGACCTGACCATCTTTCCTTTCTATGATTCTTCACTCACTCTGTCCAGACATAAAAGGTTTCAACCCATATGAACAATGTACGTCTTCCAGATTTCCACCGTTGCCTTCCACTGATGCTCAGCCGCATTCCCGACATCCGGATTATTCAATATTCTATGATCTGATGAAGAAGAGAGCATCCAACCCGAGTTGAATTGCCTTCTTGTTTAATACCACTCGCTTTCACCTCCTCCAAATGTTTCTTAACCACACTGCATATTTTTTCTTCATAATTTTGAATATCCATCCGGTAATTTAACGCATTGGTTGGAGATGCTCGTGTCAAAGTATTGTCTCTTAAAAGATGAATTTCAGAGGGCAGCAAGTAAGATGCAGTTAGAGACCGAAGGTTTTGTACTTAAAACTGAGATCCAGGGTCGATAGACCTGTGAATGGGTCATCCGACCCAACCCGTTAAGCTAATGGATCATCCGAACCTGACCCGTTAACAATTATTATTATTATTATTATTTTTTGCATAGAGTTTATTTTTTGTTTTCAAGACTTGACTAAAATTACTAAAACATCAACTAATGAGTGCTAACGGGTTGACTCAAAGTGACCCGTTATTTAACGGGTTCATCCATTAGCGATCCGATCCGTTAAGTATCCACCTAAATACTAATATTAACAGGTCGGGTCGGGTCGGGTTAACGGGTCAGGTTCAAAATCCCAGGTCTAGTCGAACGTACTTTGATATTGGGGGATCAAAAGCTTGAACACCTCAAAGATGAAGTTCAGAAAGTTTGGGCAGGTATGTTTTCAGTTTACATGTAAAGATATATATTAGTAAAACGCCTTCATTACCTAATGCAATATTTTTCATCACAAAATTGATTTACGTCCCGATTTCTTCGTCATGGAAAGTCTAAACTACAATTTTGTATTTTGAGCTATTCCAGATCCAATGCAATCCACCCAAAAAATGAATTCGTCAACGTAGAAATTGTTTGCAGATGGGTTGTCGTTGCAACCAGGGGACTCGAGACGCCATTTTTGCTCAATCCCCCAATCCCTCGTCTTCTTTCTTCTCTTCTCTAATCAATCAATGAGTCGCGACCATGGCGTAAGTTAACTTAAGCACATTTCATTATCCTTCTTGGCTGCAACATACAGAACGGTTAGAGCCGAGAAGGCAACACTACTCAAACTACGAAAGCATTTTCATTCGTTTGTGGAGAGCACCTTGCTGTATAACGGCTTATTTCACATCCTTCAGGCTGTCCCGGGGCTTCTTCATCGCCCTCTTTACTTCCCTAGCTGTAATGTTGTCCATAACTAAAGGTGAATACTAGGAAATAAAACTAGGATGAACAAGAAGATATACATTACAAGAGTAAAATAAATGCTACTACACGTCCAATTGAAAGACAATCCTAGACATATTTTCTTCAGCAGGTCATTCGACCAGACGATTATTCAGCTTGTGCGGAACATAAGCTGTCATCTGGCCGAAAGAGTCGAATGTTCCTAACCACCAGTAACCCCAGGATAACCATGGGGGCACTAGTGGTTACGAACTACCCCTTTCGTGGGGCATGCCTAGGTTTGAGCTTCGCTTGTAAGGCCACAAGTCTTTGTCACCCAGAAGAAGAAAAGAAAACGGAAGAGTGGATAATCTAACTTTTTGTCGGCCAAGCTAACCTTTAAATTTCCTTTTCTTGTTAGCTCTCCTCCGCTTTCTCTCCGCCTGTGTAAGCTCTGTTTCTTCTTTGATGTCACCTTTGCCGGAAAACACTTCCTCAGGAGCCAGCATTGCCGCATCAGACACGGCCACAGGTGCAATCTGCCCAATGAAGAGATATCACACACTTCAGTTATGACTGTCGACTTTATACTAGAAAAAGTAGTATTTTTCAAAGGATTCATGAGAACCCTTTTTTATAAAGGAACTGTAGAGTTCACATTACCTCTTCCATTGCTAGAGCAGGGACATTGGCTTGTACCGACATATCCTCGATAACCTATCAGATAGCGTACATCGAGTCCAAGAAAAAACAATTCACAAACTACAAAAGTATGCACTGCATGCATGTAAATAAATAAATAAATTTGACGACTGGGAAGCATACAGGTTTTGGACTGAAGTGGAAATGAGAGAGAGCATCCAACTTCAAGCAAAGTTTCTTGAACAGCTTGTTTGCCTGATCAAAGATAGCGACCGCAAGGTTAGTAAATTAGCACCTTTAGGAACATAGAAGATAGAAGATAAAAGATAAAAGCATGCACCTCGTCCTTCTGTTTGTCTGTTAACGACAACGGAGCAGAAGCCAAATTCGTCTTTTGAACATACTCTTCCTGCAGAAAATTGAACAACAAAAGATTGTTATGTTTCTCAATTAGATTTTAAGATGGACGGAAATCCAGCTTAAGGAGATCAAAACTTGGAAGTGGAAGCATGTTGGGCAGCTTGTCAAGTGATGCATTTTGCATCAGGAGCACCATACCTCATAGACGTCAGCTAGACCCTTCTTGCTCTTATTCTCGTCCTGCACATTGAACAAAAAGGATCAGACAAATTGAACAAGTTGCTTCATTTAAGAAACAATGGATCGAAATTAGAACGCAAATATAGCAAAAAACAATGCTTACCAACTCTTTAAATTCTCTTGGTGCTTTAGAGGGTAAAGTAGGAGCCTTTTGAACATCATCAAACCGCCCCTATAAAAGACATTAACTGCAGTTTTAGAACTGGTTCTGTTCCACACACACACACACACACAGTAGAAGAAACAAGCAACAATATAAATCAAATGGTGACAGAAGAAATAAAAATTGCCCATCGAAAAAGTATGAGAATTAAATTTCTTTTCTGACTTATAGGGATCAATATAAATTGTCGAAAACTTTCAAGTGGAGGTGAGCGATCAAAATGCGGTTCATAAAAAATAGCTAACTTTGAACTGAACATTTTAGATAAGAAAAAGATGGCAAGAAAACAAAGCCCCGGAACGTATTCACTCAAGATGTTGTTTACCTCCTCGATCCTTTTCTTGATCATATCCTCAATTGATGTTGTAACCTCCTCTGTGATTACTGGGGCAGGTCTAACATTGTGTTCAAAATCCAGATCAACTTCTAGCGCGCTATTCTTTGGCCTTGTCGCTGCAGTTACCTGTCTCCCAAAGCCACAATCGATATATGTAATTCATTTAAAGATAAATGGTATCATGACAATGACATAACTAATACGAACTATTGTCCGGCAAGAAAAAAAGAACTTTAGAAACAGAAAAATTACCTCTCCCTGCATGATCCAGCTTTTTGGCTCCAGATTTGCTTTTTCCATCTGTTCTATTTGCGATTGAAGCTTCTTAAGCTTCTTTTCATGGGTCGACAGGGCTGTTTGCTTCTATATTATAAAAATATGAAAACAAATGAGATGAAACTCCTTTTGAAAATATGGAGAATCTACAACTGCAAGACCATGTTCTCAAATTCCATTACACTGCTTGGTTTGAAAGTACCTTGTCATCTCCTTGTTCATTTTCACCTCCTTCTTCTTGATCATCTTCATCTTGATCATCTTCCTCCTCGTCTTGCTCATCTTCTTCTCCATCGTTTGTCCCCAAATCTTCTGATTCATCAACCAACTTTGATCTCCGTTTAGAAGGCTTTTCCTTTTTTCCTCCATAGAAGTCTTCATATCTGTCACACGCAAGCAACGGCTAAGCTTAAGCATATACTAATAGAGACATACATGCTCACAATACATATTCACAGATGAATCACACATAATGGATGCACAGACAAAGAAATAACTAAACTGCATACGGTATACCAGAGAAACAAATGCGGATGAACCATAAATTTGCAATCAATTACTGACTGATCCATATGCATATAATCAACAATCGTACAATAAACATAGAAACGAAAAGCAAGCAATTTGGACAAATGATAAATGTAGCACCTTGCAAACTTGTCTTCATCATCCTCATCGTCGCCAATGGCCAAATCTCCAAGCTAAATTGGCAAAACAAGATCGAGTTAGAAACCGAAAAAGACATAGCTTTCAGCGAAATTCATAGAACCAAAACCCAACAAACATAAAATTCAAGCACGTCCTCACCCCTTCATCTTCTTCATCCTCGTCGTCACCCCTTCTGTTCTTTTTCTTCTTATCAGTCTTATCTAGCCCATATTCCATCGCTTCACTTTCCTCCAAAGACTTCTTCAAATCCTTTATCTTGAAAAACCCATCCTCTATCGCATTATTACCTTCCCCTTCGCTTTCACTTTCCTCTCTCTCCTCTTCATCCTCTCTATCTACCTCCTCACTCTCACTCCCTTCTTCTTCCTCCTCCTCCTCCGCCTCCTCGTCGTCACCATCGTCGTCAAATCCATCCAATTCCTCGTCAAAGCCCCCGATTTCCGCCTTCAAACCCTGGCTCCGAGCTTCCAGAACCTTCTCCTCCCCTTGCACGACCACCTTCAGCGTATTAATCTCGTCCGGGTTCTTCTCAAACCGCTTCAAATCGCGGCGGAGGTTCGAGATGAGCGGCTGCGATTGGAGGTCGATTTGCTGCCATATCTGCTCGGCGTCGAATCCGTCGACCAAGAGCTGATCAAACGGCGATTTGGGCGTGAAAGGCCTGATGGAGGAGAAGAGGCCCTGCAGGGCGGCTCGAGCCGTTTGAGAAAGCGCGGGGCTCGGCGCCAGTAGCTGCGTCGGTTCTGTGGCTTTCAGGGAGTTCAGGGCGTCGCTATTGATCGCCATGGATGGAGCACTTGTGTTCTGTTTCTGACAGCCGGTTCGGGGTTTAGGGTTTTAGACGGGAGGGAGCAGCTATTGTCTACGTGTCGATATCTCATTCGCTATTAATTTGAAAATATTTGGCCACTGTAAACATAAAATCAAAAACGAAATATTTTGCCTTTGTTTTTTAGGAAAACTAATTAAAAGACTTTGAAAACTTTAAGTCAAAATAAAAGGTAAAATAAATAGTACCAAGATTATCCTTTTAGTATAAAAATATAATTTTTCGTTAAAATAAACAGTATCGAGAGCTTTTCATTAAAGTTACCTTGTTTTTTTTATAGAATATTTTGCCTTTGTGATCCATTCCCTTTTTATGAAATCCTAAAAAATTACAAAATAAAAAATACATATATAAATCTTTAATTTAGTAGTATTTCTCTTTTTAATGTCGAAAATAGATTTTAAAGTTGTACTTTTGAGAAGTAATATGCACAATCAATCATTTACAAACAAGTGACTAGTTTTTTTAACCAACGTAGTGAATTTGAGTAGAAAGATAATTTTGTCAGA